ATGCATGCCCACACATTATGAGAGAGAGTAAAATTGTGTATCAAAACAATGCCCTTCATTAGAAATGGCCCAGTCTCAGCATTAACTCTGAGTTACTTATTAACATCTTCAAGGTGTTTATGCCTTGGTTGAACATGCCATGTCAGTTATTCTGCTACATTCTTCTCAGGTTTGATGGGGGACTGTAAGTGAAGTTTATAATCCCAGCATCTCTGCTGGATTATTTTATTGCTTTATTTATCTATATTTATTTGAATTTTATGCTATCATTTTAAAATGTATGTTACTCTGATTGTTAATCCTTTTTCTCTTAGTATTATTTTTAGTAAAACATTTTTAGTGTATTACTCCTAACTATTCTGATATTGTCAGTTCAACTTTGGATATTTGTATATTTGCCTGACCACAGTAAACAGCATGTTACTTCATTCCACAGAAAAAAAGACAGACACCTCCTGAAGCCATTGCTGGTAAAAGAACTGGAAATAATTTCAGAAGCCATGCTTTGTATGCTTTCTATCTGTGTGTCTGTGTCTGTGCGTGCACTTTCAAGTCAGTGTTGACTCCTGGGCACTGCCTGGACAAGTCCTTGCAGTTTTCTTGGCAAGATTTTTCAGAAGTGGTTTGCCACTGCCTGCTTCCTAGGGCTGAGAGAGGGGGACTGGCCCAAGGTCGCCCAGCTGGCTTTGTGCCTAAGGCAGGACTAGAACTCACTGTCTTCCAGTTTCTAGCCCAGTGCCTTAACCACTACACCAAACTGGCTCAGACTTCAAAATATGGAACACTCCACAAATTTGTGTGTCATCCTTGTGCAGGGGCCATGCTAAAATCCTCTGTATTGTTCCAGTTTTAGTGTATGTGCTGCCAAAGCAAGCACATGCTTTCCTTGCCTTGTTTTATTTCCTAACCATGGATAATAAAAGGTGGATATTACCTGAAATAGCAAAGCTGTTTGTGAGAAAGTCTTGAATGACTGCTTTGACTGATATAGTGAAGTGCTTAAAATTAATAAATGTATTCTCTATGAAGTATTCAGACGCAGTTCTAATGAGATTAGTGGAAATAAATGATGAAAAGGATTGTTGGTACAGAATATTTCTATAAGACAGAAACAATTTTTTTTTTTTAATGATTTGGCAATGCTGGTGCATCTAAAGAGTTCTGTGATTTCATAAGAATTTTACCATGTGTTAAAGTTTCACATGGTTCTAATTTCAGATCTGTATAATGATTGATTACAAGGTGTAAATGCAATTTTATTGTAACAAAAAGTGTTTATGATAAAAGGTTGACTGAATATTGCTTAGGTTTAAAATGAAGAATTACCTTTGGAGTTGTTTGTCTCCATCAAATGGCAACTTAATCTAATGTATATATAGTGTGTGTATGTATGTATGTATCTATGTATGTACTATACTATATATAGTGTATATATATGGACAGCTTATAGCCTCCTGTCCTTTTCAATAAACTGGCGAATCCTCTTTAGGGTTAATATCCTTTGCTTTTCACTTTATGTATAGTGTTGTACCTACAGCCACAGTAATGTTTTTGTTATAAAATTGCCACCCTGGAACAAGTTTTGGAGAGAATCCCCTCCCCAGTTCTGTCCCCTGAAGGGAGAGAGAACTTCAGCCCCATCTGGATCAGTCCAGCCTGTAGCTTTATGAATGAGCCAGTATAGATGTAATCAGTGACCCCTACATTTTCTTTAGTGTCTTTAAGGTCATAATAGTTTTCAAGTTCATTTTTCTTCTCTGCAGCAGTAAAACATATTCTAGGCATATTGGTAATAGTTAAACATTTGTGGCAAAAATTAACCTGAAATACTAGCACCTTCTTTTCCCTTATAGTTTCTTATCTGTTTCAAAAAATACCCTCTAGCCACTGTAATGTATATTTTGCCAGGATATCAACTCACCTTGTTCCTTCAATTTGGCAGCTCTTTTGGTTACTTTTTTACTGAGTTCATGAATATAAATACCCTCCTTGGAAACAATTGATTCTATTAATACAAAAAATAAGTACAAGGATTGCCATTAATTGGATTTTGTTCCCTTTTTATTAGATTGGAGGTAAATAGAAATGGTAGAAAATAAATCTATGAATAATGCAAACCTTAAAATTCCTGTTTGTTTATTATGCTTTTATATTTTGATACTCTGTATCAGTATCTCTGTACTCTATATTTTGATTTTGACCCGTAATTGCCCCCTCTGTGGCCACTTCAGAAACATAAATGCCCACCTCTCTACTGACAGCAGCATCCCATACTCTTTCTAGTGTTCTCATGCCGGGTATATTATTGCATCAGTATACAGGTTACTGTAGGGAATAGAAGCCAACCATATCCCAACCATTCACCTCCGCTGAGACGCGGGAACAGGATTCTGGAGGAGAGGAAGTGAGAAATGTCTTTGTACCTGAGTAACCTTAGCTAGAATATCTCAGAGAACCAAAGACCTTAAGAAGTCATCTTAGTCTGACTGGGCCTAGGAAGTGAGGTCCAATACTAAAAAAGGCCCTGGGAAATGCAATCAGTAAGGGAGACTTTATTTCTTTTCAGTTTTGAGTAGTTTTGTATATCTCTGTCCCTCCAGCTCTTCCTTTGGTCATGTTGACTACTAACCTTGGTATGCAGATCGGAGCTTCCTGCAATTTTAAATAAGTAACCCATTTTCTAACTTCTTCCTTTGTTGCTGTTTGTAATTCTTTACTCTTTCCTACTCCAAGTTATTTTTTTTTCTTTTTGTCCTCAGTAACACATATTCCAAAAACTCTTGGGTCTGATAACCATTTATTTAAAAACTTATTCCTGGATACTAAACTTGATCTTAGTTAAAAGTTTGAGAAGCTCTACTGGTGTTCTGTTACAGCCCCAGTCTTCAAGAAAAGCGATACATCTAGTCCAGCTTTCTGTCTCTTAAGTGTTATTGGTAAATTATATGGTAAACATCTGCATGAGAAACCCACTGACTGGCTAAGAATAAGACCAGGTCTTGGCCAAGTGTGGACAAGATGGTCTGCCATAGTTCATATATTAGTCTAAACTAAATGGTGCAAAAATATTCCTCTCAGAGTTGAGGTACCTCTATGCTATCTTCGTAAATCTGAAGGTGGCTTTTGATTCTGTCTCTGTGGAGAGATGGTGGAGGTAACTAAACACCTCTATGGATTACTGCCTTACTAGATTAATTATGATGCTCTATGAGAACACTTGCAAGGCATAAGTAGAGCAAGTGGAGGTCTCTTTTCTACTGTGGGAAGAATTAAAATTGTAATCTGGCACCTTCACTGGTTACATCAGTTCTTTGGTTCAAGCCTTAATGTATTACATCCTTCAGCACTAGCTAATAAACCAATATCTGTTTTGCCTTATATGGATTATGTGGTCATTCTCTCCCTGATAGAAGTCTGACTTCAACCAAATCTGCAAGCCTTAGGCATTTATTGTAGGGAAGAAAAATAAGAAATTAATTGTAGTAAAATTGTGGAAAATGGGAAATTGATAACAATCATATTGAGCAAATTAAGATCTTAAAATACTAAGGAATTATTTTTCAATCTTCTAATGCAATAGAATTTTTGCTTCTAAAGCAAAAAAATTCCAATGCAATAATTAGGTTCCAACTACCATGGAAGTAATTATGTTCGCACCACAGTCATGCTATTCAGGCCCACAGTGTTGGGCTTCATATTCTATGATGTGCAGGTTTGTGCTGTACAGAAATAAAAGACTTGGATGTAATTCAGTCCAAATTTTATAGAACAATGCTCAGTGGCCCTCATTGCAATTCTGAAGTTTGGAGCTTGGTTGTATATCAGTAGAGCCTTGCATGAAGATCTGTCAACTAAAACATTAGTTAAAATTAATTCTGGGGGAGAGATCTTTAACACAGTTAATCCTCAATGACAAGTTAAAACAAAATTTTTGATAATTCTGAGGCCACAGAGGGCTTTACAAGAGGCCCAGCAACATGTATTGGATTTAGATTTACAGAAGGACAAGAGTAGAATGGTTGAAATATTGGTCTTTTGAAGAAGCCTTTTTCTATTCCTAAGTATTCATATTACATCCTGTCTCCTCCTCACAAAACATTTACTCTCACCAGATTTAATGGACAACCAGCAATGGTTCTCAAGGCGATATAGTAAGTTTCACTTCTAATATCAAAGCTGCCCTTACATGGAGGGTGTAGTTGAATCAACACTGTACTGTACATTTTGTTAAGCTATACATTGTATATGGTGTGCTGAATTAATATCATCCTACTTATTAATTGCTCTGACTGTTCTAGGGAAGAGAATGTTTTTTATTATTTTCTAAAAAATTAAAAGTTGTTAAGTCATAATGGCTATAAGGAAATTTTGGATATAAATAAGATTTGATAGATTATCAATATATGGCAATAAGCTGTATATTTTATTTCTTTTTAATAATTGTTATACATGCTTTGTTGTATGAAATGTTGCTCTATAATGAATTCTAATCTATTCCTGGAAAAGAGGGATCTGATCCATCCAGATTCCAGGTGAGGTGAACATTTCCCAAATGAAGAACAGGTGGTAGCAAAATAGTTTCCTGCTGGGTGGGGAAAAGCTACACCTAGACATGGAAAATTCTGATTTGTGTTGGTGTTGCATGCAAAGGTATCAGTACAAACTATGGTGATGCAAAAATGAACATTATAAAGCATTTTGTACTTGTGTCCCGATATTGTTCACTTAATTTCATTTCATCAAATTTTCTGATAATTATTTTTTTTAATAAATACAGAAAAATGCACAAATTACTGTATATCCATGCAGACAGCTGATAGCAACTTCCAAAGCAGCTGCATGGAAAAGCAGCCTGGAAAAAGATCCAGCTGCTTTAATGAAAAGAACTGTTTTGTACATGCTCTGATACAGTCCAAAGAATCTCTTTTGAAGAATTTTCAGTCCTGTTACTACCAGTCCTCATTTAGCAGCTATCTCATGTAGCAACTGTTCACCAATATGACAGTAATAAATGGTGGGGAAAAAATCATTTTCTGACCAATGTGCATACTTATGCCCAAATTTCTGCACCTGACAACATGCGTCAGAGTGAGAGTAACGCTGGCATAGCTGTACAAGAGAATTTTGTATAAATGAGACAGCAGCAACCAGTGATCTTTGCAACTTCTCTCTCTCAGTCACATGTTCGCTTAGTGACCATTTCGCTTCATAACCATTTGGCGTCCAATATAAGGAACAGATTGCTGTCGCTAAATGAGGAGAGGGTCTATATGTAACTTTCCCTGATTTACAACCTTTTTAATGCAGCTATTTATATTATATATTTTTTTTACACAAAAAAATGTACATCCCACTGTTCACAACTTTGCTGTTTTGTTTTTTGAATCAAGTTATTATGAATGGCCATGAATTCTCTGCATTACAGAGCCTCTCCAATCTGTTTGAGGGTTACAGCTGTCAAGGTTGGGGAAGATTGCATAGATCCTCTCTATACCATAGAAGTCCACAGTCCATATACTGTACTTCCCTTTTTAAAATAATCCATGGTGGGTTTCTTTTGCCTTTGTGATAGAAGATGCTATGTCATGCTTCCTCTTTCTCTAAAGGCAGCATATTTATCTATGTAAATAATTAGATATAGATACAGATATGCTCCATTTTCTAATTATGTAACCTCTTGAGAGTATTCAGTATGCAGTGTGATAACGTTGGGGCCTTTTTCCCCCAAAAGACCAAAATTCGTATCTCACCTTTTCTTTGTCGGTTTTCTTTAGCTTAGCTCTCACCAGCACATTTCAGTCCAAGAAGCTGGCATTCTAGCAATTCCTGAGATGATGTCATTTTTGAAGATCAAGGGAGGCAGACTGCCAACTGTTT